AAGTTTCTTCTTGTTGACAGGAGCGGTGCTAGGAACAAATACGACAACAGAGCTCTCCAAGTAAATCAGTGAATCAATTAGCGACACTTGTTTGGAAAAGTTAGCAATACTTGTGTCGCCTTCAGGAAAACCCTTCGTTGAATATAAAGCGGTTGCGGTGCTCCATTGAGCATCTTAATCTGGCGGAAGTGGAGATGCTGAAGGTGAGCTCTTTACATTCATTTAGTAATCTTCTACTTTGAGTGTTCCATGATGGAAAGATCGACAAATCCCAGCGTCATCAACGTGGTATTTCAGTTTTAATTGATCTCCAAGTGGACTAACTTTTCTGCGTTGATTTCGTCTTTGGAGCCTGCAGAGTTTTTTCTTACTGTAAGTGGTTACTGTGTAAATTGCATCGATAATTGTGCTCCGACTTTGCGGACTCCAAAGAAAGCGATTTTCTTCGGAACGTTAGCATAATGAAGCATCTATATTAATATTATGAGGCTTGACAACTCTCACTGAAATGCTACCTCCAAATTGCACAATACTAGCGATTTCCGAATCCTATTTAGCAATTCATTTATCAGCCTTTGCTGTATTTGAATTTAGACTTAAGTTGAAGTTTAGGATGTGTCAAATCTGTGCGCCGTCTGTAAGCACTTCTGTGGCACTGCGACTGACGCCGGCATTCGATGTCTGTCGAATGGTATGCGCAGTGGGCTCAGTCTTGACGGCTTCGTTTTGGTACCTTGTTGCCATCACAAATCTCGATACGTTGAGGTAAATAAGCGAAATGTTTTTGGTAGAGATCCAGTTATAAAAGGTCACAGATCTAATGTGCACAAGCAGAAAAATGCGGAAAGTCCTACCATTGGTACTACTCTTTTTGTCAACGAGATAACTTGGTTTGAGCAGTGATGAAAAAGTCGTAGCTGCTGGGTCTTCTAAGCTTTAGAGCCTTCTGATCGCGAGTGTCGCAGAGATTTCTTGACAGTCCTTTTGCAGGGAGGGGAAACCTCGAAGGGAAGCTAGATTTGATAGCTGTCTGTGAAACCTTTCAGGAAATGGGTAGGTCAGGGGAAATTCTTCGGTTGGGGAGGGGGAGACTTTTGCTGGGGCGCGACAGCAAAACTTTCTTAGCAGTCGAGTTCGCGTCTTTATTTGGGGAATTATATTGCCCACTGCTATCTGAATATCTCTGATTTTAGTACTCCGGGCGAGAGTTCTTAGCTCTATGGAATATGGACAGCGAAGGTGATTTCGCTGCCTTACGTCATATTGCTACATGGGCTGTTTGTGGATTTGGCAAGGTGAATGCTGTCCGAGAATCTGAAGCAGGTGCTTCCACCATCGATCAGCACATCCACGAATC